AAAACAATATTAATGATACAGGAACAGCAATAATTAGCTGCTGAATTGGAGACTTAATTTTTAAATTATTGAAATTTTTAACTAAATTTAACATAATTTAAAAAAATTATGTTATTTAATCAACAATAATAAATATTATTGGTAGTGATTAACAGTAATAATAATAATAATAATAATAATAATACTGATAACAATTTAAAAATAATTGATAATTGTCGAACCTTTTGAAAGGAGTGAATAGAGTTCGTTGTAAATAAGCATAAAACAAAATGAGTTGCTTCTTGACATATTCCCTGAACGGTTTAATCCAATGGCCACAGAAAACGTATACCAAATAATAACAAAAATAATTGAATTTCTTCTGCACGGGAATGCCAATTTCCTCGATGAACGAATGCCTCAAACGCGGCCACCAATGAGCACACAGCCAAAATCTCAAGAACCGACCGAATGCACGCAGATGTTGTTTGACTGGAGCGAGTATTCTCTCTCTGATGCGGCATTTCAATTCTATTAGATTCAATCGAATCGAATCACGCGTACGTCTCATCTTATCTCTAATCCATGCAACAATTGCGATCATACTCTCTCGAATGTACTTGCCGAATGATAGTATTCTATCGTGAATGAATCCAAATGTTCCAACGAGAGCATTTCGAATCGCGTTGAAAAACGCGATAATGCCGCGTCGAACTGCACCGATACACGACACAATGCCGCCTCGAATGGCACCGATAAATGCCGTGATCGCATGTCGAATAGCACCAATAAGACTCATAAACGCGTTTCGAACAGCGCTGAAGACGTTGAAAAGTGCCGATCGAATGGCATCGTAAGCGTTGTGCAGTTTTGTGCGAATCCAATTCTTCGTGTTGCACACTGCACTGACGAGTGCATTTTTTAGTGAGCAGATGGCATCGATTGCTGATGATTTCGCTCGGAGGAACACTTGCAGTAAACTGTTCGTGAACGATCGCCACCGACTGCGTACACCATTCAGAATTGTCCACAGAAAACGTTTCAC